TGAAATTTTGTTTGTTAATTCCGCTAGCTCTTCTTGTGCCTTCCTTGATCCTTTATTTGCTGCCTTTTCTAAATATTTTTTATATTTATCATCATTAATCTCATAACTGTGTTTACTATTCAAAAAGAGCTGAGAAACCATGTAAAAGCATCAGCATCATCTTTATCCACTGCCTTTAACAACTATTATAATTCATGACTATTAATTGTATCATATCCTTCAATTTGTTTTAATATTTCGTTTAACGATCTTGAAGTTCCATCATTAATAATATTCATTTTATCATCATGATTCTTTTTGAGATATTTCAAGGTTTTTGTATTCAACCTTGGTAAAGAAGTCGGTGTAGTTGAAAAACACCTTTCATATAATTCTTTAAAATATCCTTTGTTTTGCAATACTTTTCAAGTATATTATGCAAAATATAAATACAACTTTTATCGGGATCATGGGTTTTTCTTGATACCATGATAAAGTATATCCATTACTTTTTGTGTTTTGTCTTCGTAAAAGTTAGATTCTAATAATATTAATATTCCAGCATATATAAAATATTCATTTGGTTTGATTGTTTGATTACTCCATTTTCTTTCAAACTCTGATTTGATATCTACATCAAATACTTTCTTTAACCAAACAATCGTATTCACATATAAACCCTTATAAAATGCATCAATAAGCAAATTCTTTGCTTCGATATTAGTATTGTTATCTAATTCCATAGTGTTTATCTCATTGATTTCTTCAAATTCATTCTCTTGCATTGAGAGATTATTTGATGATAATATTAAAGCTTTAGACAATTCATATGATGCTTCACCGTATAATGTAGTACCTATAGATACTTTTTGAAATTTTCTTGCAAATTTTAAAGCCTGGTCGTGATGATTCCGTATAGTATAAAATGTGATCAGGTTTTTGTATGATTTTGAATCAATGACAGTAAATTTATCACTGACATTATTCACATTATTCAACCACTGTTTATATTGTTTATGTGTTTTGAAATGTTCGTTAAGCGCTTTAGTAATATCTAGACGAAAAGCTCGCTTAATCTCATTAGAAAATTTAAATACTCGTTCACCACTAACGTCGTTGTCTTTGTTTGATAAAGAATTAACTATACATATTTTTGTCATAATTAGTCGATCAAACACCCTACTTATTAATTATATTGTTGAATAAAATTATCTATAAATTCGGTTTCCAGACCTAGGTACGGCATTAGGTGGGGAACTTACGAGCGGAACCCTTAAATATCAACCTCCTAAAATTGTACGTGTGGCCTAAATGTAAAATATACACAAACTTCCACAATAAAGCTAGGGGCCACCTCACCTTGAAACTAAAAAAAAAATCTATAAAATATTTATTTATTTATCATATTTGAGTTTTTAAAAGATGATTATTGTGAGATAATACAGAATCCTGAACTTGAGTGTCTAGACTTGACAATTACATTTTAAACACATAAAATGCGTAGTAAATTTATCTTTTTTGATATAACTAGTGCGATATTTGTATATAAAAGATCAACAATTGCATATGAATGTTTAATATCGATCTTGTTTTTTATTGTCTCATCAAATTATTAAAACAATCATTTATAACTTAAAATTTTGCTTATTGAAGGCCATTGTGTTGCATTACGCACGATCAAAAGTAATGCAACATGGCAAATGAAATAAAGTTCATTTTTACGAAAAATTGGGATCATTTATTTTTTTGAATTTTTTTTTACATGAAACTTATAGTATTTATGAATAAATTAAAAAAAAAACAAAAGAATACATCCAGAATTGCATGAAATAATGTGATCTAACCAAATTTTTTTTTTTGCTCCATTACTTATGATCGCCACTGTATATATATGCGAAATTAGTTTCAATAAGGTACAATAACATTTGGGCATTGATATTTAGAATTTTGTTATAATAAATCTTTAATTTTGAAAGAAAAATTTATCATATCTTTATAATGTAATTGAAAATAATATATGAATTTTAATAAATACCAATTTACTAAGTCTATTTTGAAACTTAAACTTCTATTATTCATTTTTCAGAAGTGACCACAACATGCACCCTTATTACAGTATTATTAACTAAATATTCGCTATTATCTCTCGTCTAGCACACCTTAAATACTACATAATTATTAATGTTCAAAGCGTAGCTGAGGATGCATTTGGATTTAGACAATTACAAGATGCACATCTGTCATACGCGTAATTATCCAATAACAGATAAAATATAACAACATGTTAAATTTCACCATTTGTCTGATTAGCCAATGAAAATCATTTGTCTGGATAACTAGTTTCTGATTATTTAGTTATAGCAATTAATAAATATTTATTTTGGGATGCTGAACTTTAATTAGAGTACTTTTTTTATAAACCAGGTTTTTGAGATAATCTGTTATCATTATATACAGTATGCATAATGCATATAATTTGATTTTCATTCTTGAAATCAAAATCGTGGATAAAGTAAATTGTGTAATTTCTAACTGAATTGAACTTAAAATTAGTGACGCGATGTTCTACACCAAAAAAATTACAATTATGATAAAACAGGTTTTTGAGATAATAATTGAACTTAAAATTAGAGTAGTTTTATATTAGCGTTTGTTTGGTGTCAAATTTATATAGCAATAGAATTGTAATTTTTTGTTATCAATATTGTATAATTCAAAAGAGATAATCTCAGTTAATTTCTATGACCGCTATAGACAGTTTGAATTTTCGATCTTTTTTTAAAGCATTACGCAAACAAAATAGAATTTCACATGATTTTCCTCACCATAAATCTTAAAGTACAAAAAAAGCCACTCGATATAAATCTATATCAGTATTAAATATGACTATGATTGATATTTTTACTGAACCACGTGATTCTGAAGCCTGAAAAGTTTATCTTACATGAGGTTCCATCAAAACTATCAAGTCATAGACTGACTCTCATCATTTCTCTTTTTTTGAGTTTATGCAATGGCCTTAACAAAGTAAAATTTCACAAAATTAAGTAGTTCATTGACTGAATCTCAATAATCAAATGAAGTGAAATTTTACGCGATTGAAGTTTAGCATACAGACAAATAAACATTCGCATAATTTGTAGTATAAAGGGTCGTGTTTGTTTGAAAGTTTAGTACAATATCTCTCTATCTACAAATATATAATAATGTCTCGCATTAGAAGAAACGAAATTTTCACATACAGTACGTATAGAACAAAATATATAAACAGGAGGAATCGTTATTATTACACCTAGTGAGGGATTATATCCATCACACTTGAAGTTATATATAAATAATTTAAGTTTGACTGATCACCCCATGTGAACAATGGGGTGAAGGATTATATCTATAACATACATTTTAGAGTAAACTCAAAATAAATAATTTTATTATCGATTAACTACATTGTGTGAAGGATTAATGTGTAACATTGACAGTTTCTCCTGTTACACATATATGCCACTGTATATTTAATTAAATCTCATTGATCAACTTTAATCATATGATTATTTAAGTGTGTGATTGGCTTGGGTACAGTGACCAAAAGGGGAGATGACTAGAAATAAACTGACCATTTAAACAACATCAATATTTTGGGCTCAGACACGAGGGGAAGGAAAATTTAAACAAATATTATTGTCAACCTTAATCATATTATTAATGATATTGTTTAATTTCTGTGGCAGTTAACTGAGGGGATGACGTTAACCCACTGAATAACTTTGGAAACCTATTGTGTTTTGAAATTACGTTTTTACAAGACATTAAGAAGCTTTTATTCAAAACTAACATTCCAGAAAACATTTATTAATTGAGTTTACTTGTGATAAATTTTATCAAATTTATACAAATAGAGTGAGATGCATTTTAAACTATTATTTAGGCTAATGCAAATTCTCAGATTTAAGTTTTTGCAATGAATTAATATAATTTTGTCTATAACTGCCGGCAAGATTTTTTCTTTTAAGTTCTCTTTCTTGAACTAATAGCTAAAACTTCTTTATCCTGCGAAGTTTAGTTTTGTTATCTTTATCTTCGATTTCTTTTAATTTTTTCGAAAAGCCTTGAATAATATCCAACAGTTTCTGTTTGTTCACAGAAGATCCATTCTTTAAATTCCATAATAATATCGTCAAGAATTTCACTTTCTCTTTTTTTGAAATTCATAGTCATAATTTTCGATCAAAACAGAAACAACTTCTCTTTTTTTGTTTCATTGATATTCAATACTTTCAATATTTGTGTTAATAAAGATTATTAATGCATTCAATCTAAAAAATTTTATATCAATATTTTTAATTCAGATACTTTAGTCTCGAATTTAATTGTCCTGCTAGCTTGA